TGTTCGGCTTCACAGCAACCACAAGTTACCTCTGTACGGCAAGTAGACACACCAGGGCTTTATGATCTAGAAGAATGTTTGAACAAAAACAATGAAAAACAGGCCTGAGGGCTGTGGATTAGAGTCACCCACCTTTGTTTTGGTAGCATCACTTTCTGTCCAGTAGGCCAACTGATCACTTGTTATGTTGATGTTATTGTGAAGTGCCATCAAGTTGTAGGAGACTCACAGTGACCCTGTGAATGAAAGTCTTCAACACGTAAGTGACTTTCATCCTTTCTCCTTTTTTAGCTTCTTAATATTTTAGTGCAATTTTCAAAATATCTTTTGACATTCATTTTCGTCTTTTCTTTCTTTTGTGTCTTTATAATGAACTCATCTACACTGTCCATAGCTGGATAATTTATGCTTACAGTTTTTAAAAAATATAAGGCTGTTATAGGATGGGCATACTGAGTTGTAGGAAGTGAGTGTTACTCTGCTTTTAATTTCTGTTTCTAGTCTTTCATCTCTAACTTTCTTTTCATTTGTCTTCAAAAGATAATCTGTAATAAGATTTCCCAGTGTATTTGGTTGTACACTTGAGTTTGGCCTTAAGAACAGCTTAATGAAGTTTCTTAGATTTTCTTTTCATGTAGTATCAGTTTGGGGTCAGCCATTCTTAACCAGTGCCCGACCTAGTAAATTTCATGTTTTATAACCATTACACAAACACTAGCAGTACTATAATAATTTAACGTAAGTCTCTTTTATTTATCCAAGGTCTCCAACAGATAACATTGTTATATTTCCCAAACTTGTCTATATTGTTCTATTTCCCAACACTTTCAGATTAAACAAATCTACATGTTTGAGTACTAGTGTGTAGGTAGTTTTCAGAACAGAGCAAGGAAATGCTGCATGGTTCAGAGTTAGGATAAGAGTGTGTCAGGGATGCGTCCTGTCTCCATAGTTCATCCTGCATTTTCCTGAGGGCTGAGGATGCTGAGAACCTTCCATGCACTTATTGGCCATTTCTGTGTTTTCTTTGGAGAAATAAGACCAGGCTTTAAAGATATGCTGTTATTGTTGTTGTTGTTGGCAGGTGTCATCAAGTTGAGTAAAACTCATAGTGACCTGATGAACTATAGATCTGAACCCTTCTTTATCTGTGTCGTCACCATCGCTGGTAGACTTGAGTCTGTTGCCTCAGTCACTGTGTTAACCCACCTCATTTTGGGTCAGATACTCTTCCAGTGACCTTCTACTTTATGATGTCCCTTTCCAAGGCCTAGCTGCTCCTAACAACATACCCATAGAATGTGAGATGAAGCGTCACTATCCTTTCCCCTCAGGAGCACTCTAACCGCACTTTCTTCAAGACTTATCTATTTATTAGATAGATAGTCCTGGGGATTCCCAAGCCTCCAGCTGTGATGGTAGAATTTAGTGTGGGGAGAAAGAGGGCAATGTATATAAAACAGTTAAAAATGCAAAGTAAAGTGACCAAATTCTGTCTGGTAAAGTATAGAAAGTGATTTTTGTTTTTACTATGTACTATCGATTCAAATGCGTTTGCATAGTCAATGAAACACATTCTTTGGTATTCCCTGCTTTCAGCCAAGATCCATCTATAACACTAGCCACAATATCCCTAGTACCACGACCCCTTCTAAACCCAGCCTGGATGTCTGGTAGTTCTCTGTTGATGTGCTATTCCAGTTGTTTTGGATAATCTTCAGCAGAATCTTGCTTGCATGTGATATTAATGTTATTGTTTGATAAATTCTATACTCTGTTGTATCACCATTCTTTGGGATGGGAATAAATAAAGATCTCTTCCAGTCAGTTGGCCAGGTGTTTGTCCTGCAGATTTCTTGGCACAACTTGGTGAGCACATCTAGGGGAGCATGTCTTTGTTGAAATATATCAGTTGGTATACTGTCAATTCCTAGGGCATTGGTTTTTGCCCATTCCTTTAGAGCAGCTTGAACTTCTTCCCTCATCACCATAGGCTCTTTCTCATATGTAGTTTTATCAAATTCTTCTGTATAAGCCAATTCCTTTTGGTAAAATGACTGTGTATACTCTTTCCATCTTCTTTTAATACTTCTTGGATCATTTCATATTCTGCCCAAAGCATCCTTAAGTATTGCAGTTCGAGGCTTGAATTAGTTCTTCAGTTCCTTGAGCTTAATAAATGCTGAGCAAGTTCGGCCCCTTTGGTTTTCTGACTCCAGCTCTTTGAATACATCATTATAATACTTTGTCTTCCTGCACTGCCCTTTGAAATCTTCTGTTTAGCTCTTTAATATCTTTATTTCTTCCCTTTGCTTTGGCTTCTCAGCACTCAAGTGCAATCTTCAGAATTTCTTCTGACAAGACTCTCACCACTGGGCTTATTGGCAGCATCATGATAGATGGTGAAGAGATTGAGATTAACAGCTTTAGTTTGCTTGGCTCCACAGTCAACATTCTTGGCACCAGCAGCTAGGAAATGAAAAGAATTGCATTGGGAAAGTCTGCTGTCAGAGACTTCTCCAAAGTACTGAAGAGCAACAATGTCAGTCTGGAAACTAAGGTACACCTGATACAGGCCATGGTCTTTGCAATCACTTGCTATGCATCAGAAAGCTGGACAATGACTAAGGATGATAGAAGGAGAATTAATGCCTTTGAGCTTTGGTGCTGGAGAAGAGTATTGAATATACCATGGGCGGCTAAGAGAACAAACAGATTCATCCCGGAGAGGGTGAAACCAAGCTGCTCCTTGGAGGCAAGGATTCTGAAGCTTCATCTGACATACTTTGAATGTGTTGCAAGGAGGGACCAGTCATTAGAGAGGGATGTCAAGCTTGGGAGTGTGGAGGGACAGTCGCCCAGGAAGGGAAGACCCTCGATGAGATGGATTGATTCAGGGACTGGAATAATGGGGGTTGGTGTGTTGGAGACAATAAGATTGACACAGGATAGAGCAGAGTTTAGGGCTATTGTCCATAAGGTCGCTATGAGTTGCAGGCAACTCGACAGCACATAACAACAACAACAACAACCATCAATTCACCTCTAACTCATAAAGAGCGGTAGAGGGAAGCTGTTGACTGTAAGCTCCCTCAAATAATATCTACAATCTCTTGCCTTTAGCTTCCCCCCCCCATTTTCTGAGTAAATAAATACACTACTGGTAAAGTGTAAAAGTGATTTAAAGATCAATCCCCTATCAGGTGTTCAGGAAGCATTGAAAATGTTAAAGAAGTGATGTGGCAAGTTTAGTGAGGGGAAAACATGTTATTCATAGGTGCTGTGGAGTCATCTCCAGTGCATAGCAACATGATATACAGCAGAACAAAAGGCAGCCCAGGCCTATGTCACATCACAGCTATTGCTACACTTGGACTCATGACGCAGCCGCTGTGTCAGTCGGTTTCACTGAAGGTCTTTCTTTAGGTTAAACAGATATGACAGTATAATCAGTGTCTTAGTGTTTGTGGCTGAAGCAGTAATTCCATTAAAGCTAAAATTGTTGTAAAATAAATTCACATGGAACAGACTTGTTGTCATTGTTGTTATATGCCACCGAGTCTCCTGCTACTTATAGCATCCCTATGTACAGCAGCTCTGAAGCCTGCCTGGTCCTGAGCCAGTCTCACTGATTCCGACACACCTGCCCCTGTTGCCCCAGTTTCTGTGTCAGTCCATCTTATTTGGTTTGGTTTTTTTTTTCTCCTGCACTGTCCCTCCACCCTTCCAAGCATGATGGCCTTGGAGCAGGCTAGAGAATATGATTTATTTTTTTTAAGACACTTAACCAACAGTCACTTTTAAATACTCTTTTATTTTCTCCAGTTCTTTATTTTAAATTTGTTCTACAAATTCCTTTGATAAGTGCAAAGGAAATGTTTCTTGAATGCATAAAAAGGTATAAATGTCCTACATCTGACTTTATTACCAGTTTTTTCTAATTTCCATGCTTGTTTTAAAGAAATAACATTATGTGTCCATTGCTACAAAATACACATGATTTTTAAATCCCAGATATCCCACTATCCTCAAGTCGATTCATACTCATAGGGACCCTTCATCAGATTTATCCATCTTCCTCCCAAGGAACAGCTGGTGGATTCTACCCATTGTCCTTTGGGACAACAACACACCAACAGAGTTCTTTATCTTAAATACAAGCTACCTCAGAGATTTTATAATGAAATATGCATTTTTCTGGCTTTTGCAGTATAATATCAGGCTTCTTCAAAGCTTACTGCTGCAGTGAAGGCTTTTTCACATCCTGTGTTCTCACATACTTTGTGCATGTTGCTAGGAGAAACTATTCCTTGGAGAGGGACATCAGGCTAGGAAAAGGTTGAGAGTCAGCTAAGGAGAAGACCTTCAGTGAGGTGGATTGATACAGTGATTCAAGTGGGGCAGAAATGATGAAGATGGCACAAGATAGGACAAAGTTCGATCTGTTGTTGATAGAGTTACTAGGAGTTGTACTCAGCTTGATAGTACCTAACAACAATAATAGCATAGTTGAAAAAGCGAGCTGTGGTGGCCAAGTGATAAGGAGTTGTGCTGCCAACCGGCAGGCACACAGTTCGAATCCAGAAGTTACTCTATTGGAGAAAGATGGGCACTTTCCCCCTGTGCAGTTACTGCCTCTGAAAACCCACTGGAGGATCAGCTATGGATCGGTTCTAACTTAATGGTACAAAAAAATGTAGTTGAAAAAACACAATATTGTTAAACCTCTGGTGGGATCCAGTTTGTTTGCGTACATGGGAGGCTCTTTCCTTCGTGTATCCCACTACCCCTCACCTGGTGGAGGGAAGGCCTAGAAATAGTGCTCTATCTACATTGCCCACAGACGCATCCATCTGGATCACTTCTGGTCCTCAGAAACCTCTTTGTAATGACATCCAAAAAAATATGCCTTTATGTGACAATGTATTTCAAACTACCAAACCTATTAGGATGGCGATGTGAAATTTCATGATCTAATTGTATATTTATCTTTTTTATAGGATAAACAAGCCCAGAAAGAAGTGGAAAATATGATGACATCTTTGAAGATATAAATAAAATGCACTCCAACATATCAGATGTGGACTACTAAAATTTAACTAATTAAATCTTTATTTTTTTTAATTAGTTTTCATTTTCTTTCAAGGGCAAAAATGCTCAGTTTAGCAGGTAAAACCACATTTCTGAAGAATGCATTCCACTGGTGACACTACAGAATTAATCATGTTCTTTGGAGAACCTATTTAGTATAATGTCAGATCACCATGACCTGTAAACATGTATGCTTTCTGTTTTCCTATTAATAAGCTGTATAGTCTTCAGAATATTTCTTTAAATAAAAATGAAATCAGTCCAATGAACTTTAATAAACTCTACAGACAATGTTATGTTATGTATGCAGGTAAAAAGTGAGAAAAGATGGGCAAAGGATATGACTAAGTCCACAGAAGAGGGAAAGCAAAAGAAGATAAATTAACTCTAGTAATCAGAGAAATGCAGAGGTTAGCCACCAAAACAAAAGAAGGAAAATCAGGAAGCCAGTAGTCTGTGAAATGCATAGTTTTACCACCCAATTAACAAGGATTGGAGTTTTTTCCTATTAGGAAACCTTCAGTGGTGACAATGACGGCATGGTGTAGAACATTCTTACACTGCTAGCAGGAGAGTATTTACAAACATTTGACTGAAATGTATCTGTTGTTGTGTGCCATGGAGTAGGAACCAACCCTTAGCTGACCTTCCGGTGGCGTGGCAGAGGCAGTTAAATCACACTGGAGGTAATTGCCCATGGAGCAGTTGGTGGCCTCAAAGCAAGTGCCTTCAGGATTGCAGTGCAGTTTCTTACCACTAGGCCACCATAAATGTTGTCTAGAATCTTAGTGTACTGCCAAGTGCCCAACAACAAATGAATGGGTAGAGAAGCTCTTGTATATTCACACAATGGAATATTATGCAGTGTTGAAAAACAAAGAACTCATGTAATATTATACAAAATGGGTGACCCTGGAGGAGATTAGGCTGAGTGAAATATCTCAGTCACAAAAAGAAAAATACAGCATAGTGCCACTGTTGTAAAAGAAGACTGACTAGGGGTTGAGGGGAGACTGAGAAAGATGGGATAAATAATGCATACTGCACTGAAACAGAGGGAGAGAACTGTTTAAAAGGGATATATTATTAGATATTATTGTTATGACAGGGGGGAGGGGTGGACAGGGAGAAAAAGTATAACAATGAATGAATGAAAATCCAAAGTCTGTAAACTTTCACTGAAATCAATTTAAAATTAACAAAAGTACTGCCTCTTTAACTTTATAATTCCATTTCACAGAGATAGTTCTGAAGAGAAAAAGCTCTATGATTTATATGCAAACATTCAGAATAGTAGTATTATAGTAAAATACTATTTCCAACACTAAGAAAGGGTCTAAGCATATTAGAATGTAACTAGAATAGGATATTATTTCAACATTAAAAATACCTGCAAAAATTATATAAGGAAATATATGTAGCATCTTAAGTATATACAGATATAAGACCAAATTATAAATACATAAAGGGAGACTAGTGCTGTTACATCTGGAGGAACACTCTTCCATCTGCACATCACTCAGTCAGTGTGCTGTATAAAGTAACCCGGGTTTGCTGTGATGCTGAACCTTGTGCTATTGAGGTTACAGTAATAGCAAAAAACTATGAGATAGCATCTCACCCAGTAAGAATAGCAAAATTTAACAGAACAATAAACATCAAATGCTGGTGAGGTTGTGGAGAAACTGAAACCCTTATTCAGTGTTGGTGGAAGTGTAAAATGGTGCAACCACTGTGGAAGGCGGTATGGTGGTATGGCACTTTCTCAAAAAGTTGCAAATAGAAATATCATTTGACCCAGCAATTCCACTACTGGAAATTTACTCTAAAGAAACCATAACTGCCACCCAAGCAGATATGTGCACACCCATGTTTATTGCAGCTTTATTCACAATAGCAAAGAGCTGGAAACAACCCAAGTGCCCATCAACAAATGAATGGTATAGAAAAAGCTCTGGTATAGTCACACAATGAATGCTTTACAGCATTGAAAAACAAAGAACACATGAAATATTATGCAAAATGCGTGACCCTGGAGGACATTATGCTGAGTGAAATATCTCAGTCACAGAAGGACAAATATTGCATAGGGCCACTGTCCACTGTTGGAAAATGGGACTGACATCAGAGTTGAGGGAAGACAGAAAAGGAGGGGAGAAATTATGTATACTGCATTGAAACAGATGAGGGAGAGAACTGTTTAAAAAGGATTTATGATTGGCTATTGTCATTACAGAAGTCCATAATGAAGGCTGCATAGTGGAGTGGACTTTGGGGGGGAGAGATTGCAAAACAAAGAGTTTTACTTTTCAAGGAGAGGAGTGAATTGGGGGGAACGGGTGGGCAGGGAGAAAAGTTCAACAATGAATGACTGGAAACCCTATGTCACTGTAAACTTTCATTAAAATTAATTTTTTAAAAAAATACCATAATGGTTTCCTATAGTGGACAGTGTTTGGTGGAGCTCCCAGTTGTAAGACAGATTTGGAAGCAAAGTGGCATCCACTTCCTAAACCACATGCCTCTGGAAACTATGCACTTGGAGAAACGATGATAGTTATGGAAGGATATTAGGCCTTTTGTTCATAAAGTCGCTATGAGTCGTGCTCGACTCGACAGCAGTCAACAAAAACCTGTGAAATATGCACAGAGAAGCATCTACACTGAATATGCAGAAATTGCAGCCATCATTATTTGTGCGGGGCATTGTTTTATTTCCTGTAATTCTCTTATTTTTTTTATCTAGAGACTAAGACATGGCATTGAGGGAGCTGTGTATAGTTAGAGCTATGTAGGTACCAACTCATAACAACCTTGTGTTCATGAGAATGTAACACTTCCAGGCCCTGAACCATCTACATAGTCTCTTCTCTATGTGAGCCCACATCATTGTTTCCACCATGCCGATTAATCCCGATGATTTCCTCTTTTGCCTCCCCTATTTTACCAAAGTTCTTCTGATAATGTGGCCAAAGTATATGAGATGAAGTCTCACCATCCCTCTTCTAAGGAGCATTCTGACTCCATTTTTTCTATGACAGATTCGATCCTTCTTCTGACATTTGGTCCATGGTATATTGCATATTCTTCCTCAACACAGTGATCTAACGGCATCACTTCTTAAGTCTTCCTTATTCATTGCCTAACTTTTGCACACACATGTTATTGTTGTTAGGTGCTGTTGAGTAAAGTATGACTCATAGTGACCCTGTGAACAAAAGATCTGAACCCTGTCCTGTCCTGCACCATCCTCACACTTCCTGACACATAAGAGGCCATTGCAGCAGTCACTGTGTCAGTCTACCTGGTTGAGGGTCTTTCTCTCCTTCTCTGACCCTCCACCTTTCCCAGAATTAGGCCCTTCTTCAAGAGGTATCCCCTCATAGCAATATGCCCAGAGTATGCGAAGCAAAGCCTTATCATTCTTGCCTCCAAAAAGCACCCTCTCTAAGACATAATTGTTCATTCTTTTGGCCATCCATGGATGTTCAGTGCTCTTCTCCAACACCACAGCTCAAAGATGTCAATTATTAAAAAAATTTAAAGAAAGATGTCAATTATTTTTCTGTCATCCTTACTCGTTCTTCAGCTCTCAGATGCATAGCAAGTAATCAGAAAGACTATGCCCCGAATCAAATGCACCTTAGTCTTCAAACTGACATCATTACTCCTCATTTATCTGAGACTAACTGCTGATTTTCCCAGTGCAGTGCAGCTCCTTATTTCCTGACTGCTAGTATCAAGGGTGTTAATTGTTGGTCCAAGCAAGATGAAGCTGTTGACAGTTTCAATCTCTTCTCCATCAATCATGACACTACCCATCAGTCCAGTTTTGAAATCTTTGTTTTCATGACATTGATATGCAATCCATAATGAAGGCTGCATTCTTTGATGTTCTGCAACAAGTACTTCATGTCCTCCTGACTTTCAGCAAGCAAGGTTTTGTCACCTGTATAATGCAAGTTATTGATGAATGTCCCTTCAATGCTGATGCCTCACTCTTCTTCATAGAGTCCAGCTTTTTGGGTAATTTGCTCAGCATACAGTTAAATAGGTATGAAGAGAGAATACAACCATGCAGTGTTCCTCTGCTCTGTTCTCACAAAAAAGCCTTCTGGTCCAGTTATAGGTTCCACATGAACATAATTAAGTGGTCTGGGATTCCACTTCTTCTCAACGTCAGCCACAAATTGTCACGATCCACACAGTCAAATGTTTTTGCATAGTCAATGAAGCATAAATAGGCATTCTTCTCATTTCCCCTACTTTTAGCCAGGATCTATCTGGCATCAGCAATGACATCCCTGTGCACACATGAGGTGATTGGAAATCCCACGGCTTGATCTGGTGCCGCTATAATCTTCAAAGCAACATCTTTGCTGTTGTAGCAGAGTTGCCCAATGCAGTAGTATATATATAGTTTGAGTTGTTGACTACTACTTCCATGGCTTTAATTCTGTATCCAAATAACGCTAAATGTGTGATAATATTTCAATATTTTCTCCATTTATCGTGGCGTTGCTTATCTGGTCCAAGTGTATATACACCCATTTTCTTTATGTTGAGATGTTATCCACTGTGGAGGCTGTAGTCTTCAATCTTAATAAATAAATACTCCAAGTCCTCCTAGCTGACAGGACTTCCTATGCTAGTACACTGCCATCAAGTCAGTTTTGACTGGAGACAGCCCTCCTCCAGCAAGTTTCAGCCAGTCTCTTCCTGAAATAGTATTAAAACTTGAATTTCCAATTTGCTGTTTTAAATATATGCACACATTTATATACTCAAAATTTCATCAAATTGAGCTCCTGTGTGCAACGTCTCATCATATACAATCGTCATCAAGAGCCTTGAATTAAGTTTAGCTTGAATTAAGAGCCAACTTTGCTCTGATAACTGGTCTAACTTAACTCTGATAAATGGTCTAATACTCTCAAGAGTCATACACGTTCCATAATAAAGA